GCCGTGGGGGGCCGTGGGGGGCCGTGGGGGTCCCCCCCGGGGCTCAGCAGGGTCGTACCGCCCAGCTCTGCCAAGCGTCTTCCCAGGCAATGTCCCCTGTCCCCCCCGGCGGGGACGTGTCCCCTTCCCTGGCCGTGCCACCCGGCGCTGGAGACACGAGGTCTGTCCCTCCGGCTTGGCAGCCAGCGGGATGGATCCCTTACGCGTTGTGCAAGGGACAGGCGAAGGCCCCGTTTCGTCCTGCTGCCCTCCCCGCTCCCTCCATCCAAGCCGAGCCAGATGACCTTCTCTCGCCAGGCCAGTGCCTCCGGCTCATGGCAGCAGCCCGGCGGGGCTGTCACCAGGGCCCCAGCAGCCCGGGATGTGTCGCGGCGAGTCCGAGCACCGGCAGGTGTAGGGGAGCTGGGACTCACCTGCCAGGCGGGATGGGGTCCCCGTGGTACCCGACCATGGGATGGGCTGGCTCTGCTGCGTGCCAGGCAGATGGATGGCAGGGCAGCCTGGAGGAGGTCTGCCTGGCTCCAGCCTCCTTTTGCAAAGCTAAAAGCTGAATTTTGGCCAGCTGGGGAAAGGTGCTGCCTCCACTTCTGCTGTAGCAGCAGCCTCTTCTTCCCCAGTGCAGATGCACGCGGGGCTGGGGCTGCTCGCTGCATCCCCTTGGCTCAGCGTGCCCCGGGGAAGCGGGGCTGGGGCAGGGGCAGCCAGTCCCTACTAAAGAGCAAAACCCCCCCCAGCCCCTTTTCCTCCTCCCCACGGGTGGCAGATGGGTGCCCTGGGGCTTGGTGCTTGGAGACTGCGGGGCCATTTTCGGCAGGATTTGAGTGCTGAGCACCAGGCAAGGCTGGGGCATGGCTGCGAGCCGGGAGGAGCATTGGGAGGCAAACAGCTCCAAATCCAGCAAAGCCCTTGTCAACAGAGCGCAGGGAAAACTTGCAAGCGCATCGAATTTTCTCGCTGTGCCAGATTTTGTCACTGGCAAAGGCACCCGAGAGGAGAGGCCCGGCATGGTGCGCCCTGCCAGGCAGGCGAGGCTGCTCCCACCACGGCACCCACCGCTTGAGCCGGGGCTTTTTGGGTCTGCAGGGCCAGCATGGATAAAAACTTCATGGAGGTTTTATATCTGGGATATAGGAGGGTTGGAAGGTGGGAATGAGGCAGAAAATTGCAATATTTTTATCCTTGTTCGAATCATATCTGTTTCTAGCTAGCTCAACTGCCTGTCTGTGCTACCCTCCTTGTTTTCCTAGCAGCAGATTATTTGGGATAACTCAGGGAGCTGTAGGGAAGCACAGACTTAAATGTGTGTGGGTTAGTGCGCATTGCAAAAAATCCTGCACAGCTGGAGTTGGGGCAAAAGGCCAGTTGGCTTCTTTGCCAAAAAAACTGCTTACATTTCTTCGGTGTCCAAGGCCCTCAATGTTTGGGTGAAAGCACTGGATTCCCCCTCCCCAGCACCGCCCGGCTGTAGGTGTGCGTTCGGGTTCCTGGCAGGGAGGTGGCACGGTGGTGGCGTGTGTCCCTCTGGAGTTGGGATTTGTCTCAGTTTAATTCTTAGTTTTGCTGGTGGGGTTTTGCCGTTTGGGTTGACCCACAGCAGCCCAAGAAATGTTTGGAAAGAAAGAAAAGCGCCTGCTGGTTATAGATGGTGGCTGCTGCGCTGTGTGAAGGTGGATTTGGGGTTTCTGCCTGGCCCTGGGGCCAGTGGGCCATCCTGACCATCCTCCTGCGAGCTGGCCAAGGTGGGCCACAGCGCTGGGATGGCCGAGCATCCAAACCAGGAGCAGGCTAGGGCTCGATTTTGGAGTCATCTGCCAGCCTTGAGTCCAAGATTTCACACAGCCTGTTGCATCCCGCCAGCCCCACCAGGACTCCGATACCTCTTGGCTTCTCTGCACAAGGACTTGTCACCATCACGCCTGGTGCTCGCAGCCGCCCAGACCTGCAAGGTGGCAGCTTCTAAGTCGCTGGTTTTCTTCATGTGACATCCTGGCCACATCAAGACCGGCAACTGAATCTGTCAGCTCAGAGAGCCCTGGGGTGTCTCCCCTCCCTGCAATTTGGGGCCAAATCCTCATCTCATTCCAGCTTTTGGAGTTGATGTCGGGGCAGGGCAGGCCACAAGCAGGGTCTGATACATCCTTCACCATCATTTGGGGTCAGATGGTGACTCCGGCCTTTGCTGGCTGGACTGCAGATGCTCTGCAGTAGCGCTGTGCGGGGGGACCCATCCTTTGCATGGAAAACTGAGCTGGAAGGAAATTTTTTTTCCCATCTGGCCAGGAGGGGAGAGCAACAAAAATGTCTTTCATCACCTTCGTCATCCTCGCTCCAGAGGAGAGAGCGCAGTACGTGCTGCGGGAAGGATGACTGACAGCTCGGTAAGAAGTTGTTAAGCTCTGCACTTGGGGAATGTTGCTGGAAGTAACCCCTGGAGCAAAGGGAAACCTATGGAACAAGTGCCTATATAAATATATAGATAGAGGTCTATAGGTTCCTCTGGCTGGAGCCAAAGTGCATTGCACCGAAATAGCACTCGGGCGCTGTCGGACGGCTGCTCACATGCCCCGGGAGCCCAGCGATCCTGTGGGGCACAGGGAGCGTCTCCTTCCCTCGCATCCCTGGACCGCAGGGCTGGGGGCTGCCGGGGGACGCCCAGCGCAGGGACGCGGCAGCGGAGAGGGCTGGTGGGGCTGGGTTCATTGTTCTTGGAAGAAGGTGGGACATTTGGAGAGGGGAGACGTTTCCTTCCCGAAGGGCAGCGTGGTGGCGAGCTGGTGCGCGGCGTGGGAAGGAAGGAAGGAAGAGCGCGAGAAGAGCCAGTCACCCTTTGGATTTTGGACTGGACTCCTGTTAATGGGCGGAAGCTGGTTTCCAGTGCCGTGTGAGCCCCGGGTGCCCTCAGCCGCGCATAGTTTTGCTTTCGCCTCCTCCCCGTGCCACTCGGGCTGCCTTCAGCCCTGCATCCCTCCTCCTCCTCCCCAGCACTTGGACATTTTCAGCACATTGAGCTCTCTCCCGCCTGCCCGGGGCCAGGGGGAAGCACCCACCCAGAGCCCACCTGAGGCTCCCTGGCTGGCAGGGGACGGTGGGGAAGGACGAAAGGATATTCCCTGCAGTTGGGAGGGGAGCGAGGGGTGCAGGACCCTCCCCGGCTGATGGGGGTCCCTCCGGCCACCGCGGCAGATGGCTAAAGATCGAATAACCTCATCCTACGGCTCAGACGGCGGGGAGGAGGGATGGAGGTGGTCCCTGCCCTTCGGCTGGGGATGGGATGTCACCCGGGGTTGAGCGATGATGAGCCGCATTTGCAGCGGTGCCTGCAGAGCTGGGTTGCAGGGCTGCAGGGTTCGTCTGTCCATCCACCCGTCTGTCTGCTGGGCTGTGCACGGCTGTGCAAGCAGGGCGGTGTACAGGGTTGTTCTCTGCAATTTCCTCTGGCCTGCCGGAGGCTTCGGTGCTCTCCATCCGTGCGATAAAAATTAGATGTGAAGAGCAATTATTACCCCTCCCATCCCCATTAGTATCCTGAGGGATTCGTTTCCAGTGGGCTCAGGTGGAGCAGCTCGGGAATGGCAGGGGCAGAGCGGCTCCTGGAAGCACGTACAGGATGGGGGGGCTGCAAGGCGATGATGGGAGCAGATGCCAGGCGGGGGATTTCGGGTGGGGGGGCTCCCACCTAGCAATAACGCCTGGCCTGGAGGGAAGCCTGTGCCCGGGGCGTCAGCAAGGGATGGGGATACCTGGGGGCAAAATCCCAGGGGACAAATCCTGGTGCTCGTCCCAGCTACACAAGAGTGTATCCAGCGGCTAGTCCAAGCAGGAAAGGGCTGGCCAAGAGCTGAGTCATCCCTCCAGCGCGGAGGAGATCCCCCAAGGCCCCTTGGTTGCTGTTAAAAGGCAGTAGCAAGAGCGGGAGGCTGCGAAATGGCTCCGCCGAGAGCTCAGCTTCTTAGGCGGCCTCGGCCTCCGAGGAAGTGGGGATGCTCGGCTCGGAGCATGAATTTCACAGACAACTGGAGCCTGTGGCTTATTTCTCAATGGCTCCTTGGCTGTATTTCTCCTCCATTTCAGAGATAAAGGCGGTGAGGGTGACCCCGTGGAGCGGGAGCCGCGGTGCTGGCCGCCCTCCAGCCAGCCCGGCCGGAGGAAACCGCGGCCCCGCTCTGTGCCGCCGCCAAAGCAAATAGAAATGGGGCATTAAACAATGCTGGGCGCTAACCGGGGGAGATGTTGGCCGCCGGCATCGCCGCTGTGGACGGGCTTCTCGTCTCCAGGAGAGAGTTTCCACTGGCATCTCTGCCTCCTCTCCCCCATGCCCAGCCAAAACCCTCTTGTCGGGCAGCCCGAAGGCTTCATCCACCCTCCTCCTCCTCCTCTCCAGCTGCTCCAGGGAGGCAGAGCCATTCTGCACGCCTTGGCGGTGCTGGGGCCAGGGCAAGGACTTGCTGAGTGCTGAGGGAGGTGGGAGGGATGAAGGGTAGGAAGAGGAGATGCCCAGCTTGCAGCAGCCCTCCTGCTTCACCGTGGGCTCGCTGGAATGATTTGGCTTAGTCATTCATCCCTTCCCTCACTGGTAGGCTGAGCCACTGCTGAAAATATCCTGGAAGGCTCCCAAGCGGCACAGAAGGCAAGAAAATGAGAAACACATGAAGGAAGGGATGGGAAGGGAAGGGAAGGGATGGGAAGGGAAGGGATGGGATGGGAAGGGAAGGGGAGCGGGTGCTGTCAGCACCCTGAGGAGTGGGGCTTGGGGCGGGTGGCCCTGGCCACCCACCTCCCTGCAGGGGCCAGAGCAGGGACACCCCATCACAGCCATCCTGGCAGCGCCTTTGGGGAGGGGGCTGCACCCTTGGTGGGTGCTGGGGTGACACTGATGTCTGTCCCCGAGCAGTGACGCTGATGTCTGTCCCCGCACTGGTGTCTGTCCCCGAGCAGTGGCCTCAGCAGGGCTGGGGACGCTGCCCTTCCCGCGGGCACTTTAGGGCGCGCTCATAGGAAATTGCTCACCCCGAGAAAATGTGTTCCCGGCAGCTCCACATCCTTTTGGCCTTCGGGAAGGGCTGGTGCCCTGACCTTTTGGCCAGCACATGAGAAGCCCAGTGGCACTCCGGCCACTCACCGCAGGGCTTTCGCCGGGCTTTTAGCACTTTGCTTTTAGCATTGGCGTAGGCTCCCAAGACATGAGGTTGGTGCCTTGCTGTGGGCTGTGTCTGTGTCCAGCCCGTCGGGATCTGTGCAGCTTCTGTCGGCTGCTGCCATCTCGTGTTGCTCCCTAAGTCAGCCCCCAGATGGGGCTGGCCACTGGCTTTGCCATGAGGTTATGGCAAGCTGGCATCTCCCCACTGATGCTGGGTTTGCTTTTCTGCCCACTCGGGGCTGAGCATGGCAGGATTTGGGGCAAGGGGCCGAGGGACAGATGCTGACCCCTTCCCTGCCTGCTGTCTCTTCGAGCCGGAGGCCAAAACCATGTGAGCTGCAACCTGAGACCTGCCGAAGCCCTTGGAGAAATTCCTTTCCCATACGGTCACCGCAGTGGGACAGGAGGAAAGGTCCTGAGTGCCCCTGGGTGTCTCCTGGGCTTTGCCGTCTGTCCCCCTGGCGTGCAGAGCTGCAGCTCAGTGTCTCAGCTCTGGGTCCCCATCGCCCCTGGACTATGATATCCCCCAGCATACCCCAGCCCCAGAGCATCCCTCCGGCCTTCCCCCAGGTGCCAGGGAAGGGGTTGGGATGCCGAGGGATACCTGGAGGAAGGGCTGCTGGTCCTGGACGGGGAGGACTGGGATCCCATGTCCCCTCTGAGCCCCTCTGAGCCCCCCTAACCCCCCTCTCCCCCTTGCCCAGGTCTCTCCCGCAGTGCCAGCCTCTCCGAGAAGGAGCTGAAGGAGGCAAAGGCACGGAGCCAGAGGATCGCAGCACAGGGGGGGCTGCCGCTGAGCCCTGCGCCCCGGCCTCGGCAAGCAGACATGGAAGAGGGTGAGGGGCAGGGGACAAAGCCAGATCCCAGCCAGCCCAGCACGCCAGGAGAGGAGCTGCGGGCAAACGCCTCCCTGTGCCGGGAGCTGCCTGCTGAAGCCCAGCAGGTCCCACTTAGCATCTACCTGAAGGAGAACATGGCATCGGCCACCACCAACGGCATGCAGGAGCGGGCTGCCGGCGGGATGGAGAGCAGAGTTGGGGGGCTCGGGGAAGTGGGAGCCCCTGCGGGGCTGAGCACAGCGGCTCTTGCCCTGCCACAGAGCCCTGAGGAGGGGAAGAATGGCGAGGTGCCTGATGAGGTGCCCAGCGCGCCGGCGGGGACTGCCACGGGGACAGCATCCCCGGCCGGCCAGCAGCAGAATGGGACATGGGGCCGGCAGTACTACGAGGTCCATCTCACCCTGGCCAAACCCAAGCCTGTAAAGAACCGGACGGCCAGACCCTTTGGCACCCAGACGTCCCCCGCCAGCGGCCAGCCCGCGGAGGGACCTCTTGCTGCTGAGATGCCCCCACCACCCACCTATGCGGAGACCCTGAGCAGCCCCCCGCCACTCACCCGTGTCCGCTCGCCCCCAGCCTACTCGGCCCTGTACCCCCCTCGGGAGCAGAAGATGCTGCCAGGTCCCCCCCTGGGCTATGGGGTGAGCGGACCGAACCCCCTGCCCAAAACGGGGATCCTGGAGGAGTCGGCTGCCCGCAGAGCCAGCAAGAAGTCCATGTTCACCTTCGTTGAGAAGCCAAAGCTGGGCCCCAACCCTGATCTGCTGGACCTGGTCCAGAGCGCAGACAGCAGGAAAAAGCAGAAGGAGCAGGGGGAGCCCAGTGCTGAGGATGAACCCTTCGCCCTTGGGGCTGAAGCCGCCAACTTTGTCCCCAACAACGCAGCCAGGGGCGGGCAGCACCTCCCACCGGCCGACGATGCTCCGGCGTGGTCCTCCTGCCTCAAATCCCCCACCATCCAGCCCAAGCCAAAGCCGCAGCCCAGCCACAACCTCAGCGAAGCGAGAGGGAAGGGGGCTGAGCTCTTCGCCCGCCGGCAGTCCAGGATGGAGAAGTTCATCATCGAGGCTCCCTCCCAGCCCAAGCTGCTGCGGTCCCCGTCACCCACCATGTCCTTGCCTCCCTCCTGGAAGTACGACGCCAACGCTTGCCTGTCGCCCATGGTCTCCAGACACGCCTCCAAGAGTCCCTCCAGGCCCTCCAAAACCCCCCCGGCATCTCTGTATGGCAGCAACCTGATGGAGAACGAGGTCTCCCAGAAGGAACTCGAGATCTCCAAGCACCAGCCCTACCAGCTCCAGTCTTCGCTCTTCATCCTCTCCCCATCCAAGGGGCCAGCGAGGTCCATGCCCCAGGAGGTGCCTCCACCCAGACCCTCTCTTCCCGATGCCTACCCCTACCCTCAGCAAACCTCCTGCCCGACCTCTCCATTGCCTCCTTCCCCCGTTTGGCATCCCCCTGCCGTCCCCAGTGCCGGCCAGACCACCTCCAGCCCCTTCCCTGGCGCTGCCGGGGCTCTGCCCCTGACTCACGGCAGCCGTGCTGGTCCCGGAGCCCCGACTGAGGTGCTGCTGGCCTCCCCGTGCCGCCTGCTGCCGCCCCGAGCGAAGGGGGGCTTCCAGGCACCCC